ATTCTTAGACCACAGAAGTTCCTTAACAGGAGGAAAAGCAGAGTAATATCAAAGTCTTTTGACTGTGCTATGCCTGAGGTAGGGTAAAGCAGATTCCATTGTTGTGTATGAAGAACTTTGCGGAATTGAAGCCTACGCAGCTGTTTTTTAACAGGAATAGAATTGAGGACTGCATGGAGAGCAGAAGGTGGATGCATAGAATCAAAGACATCTTGGAGCACACGTCTTCCAACTTCAATCAAWAGCCTTGACAACCTAGTGAAATTTGTCTTTTCTCTGGCTGAAAATGATGACGTGGATGCAAAACCAGTAGCCATATTAGCTAGTACTTCACAGARTTTACTGTGAATTACTTTAGCTTGTTGTTATCATTCCTGAAGATTTATCAGTCAGCCGGCCTATGCCGAACGACGCCGAACGACGCCGAGCGACGCTCTACTATGCATGATGTCGCACAGGTAGCCCAAGCACTGCACTTGTCGGGTTGTCTCTGAAGGTCTTGTAGGGAAAAACGAAAAATTCAATAAAAGTAGGAAATTTTAATAAAATGAATTCAAACTCACACAATATGTTGTTCTTAATTTATTATACACATCTATGCGAAGTTTCAGCTCTCTGCAGTCAAAAAAAAACAGCTTTTTTTCTTAATGTTGGGGACCAACATTAAGAAAAAAGGCAGTTTATTTCCTACTTTTTATTGAATTTTTCGTTTTTCCCCACAAGACCTTCAGAGAAAAGCCGACAAGTGCAGTGCTTGGGCTACCTGTGGATGTCGCTGATGTCGCTTGATATGGAATAGCGGGTTTCAAACCGAGTGGGGACTGGGTAATAAGACTTTTATAGTTAGACTTTTATTAGACTTTTATTAGACTTTTATAGAAAGAGAAATGCAATGAAATATCAAAATTTGTTGTAAATCAGTTCAATAGTGAACAAGTTACAGTTTTTCAAACTCTAAGAATTCTAATGTATGGGATCTAGTTAATGTGCCCGGAAAATTGTCAAATGCGGACACATTCGCTCCAGCTCGTATTCCATAGGGAAACCGCAATTCTGGTCTATAGAGTAAATACAGATGTTTTCTCTTATATTAGTATAAATTGCTTGTTTTTTTTCTTTACTTAAATGAAAAAAAYGCCCCATTCGGGTTCCAAAAGTTTACATCGTCGAAGCTCTGTACTTGCATTCTCTCATAGAGATCCCTGGAAGATCAGATGCGCGTGACGATGCACGTCAGTTAAAAACAAAATGCCAAGTTGCAAACACAAAATAAGAACACAATGAACACTACGCTCGTACCTATCGCTAGCTACAAACTACCTCACTGTATATGTGATTATTATAAGTACTCATTTTATACTCAAGACGTGATTGTTGGTTGCACTTTGCAAGGAGTAGCTCTAAATTACTTAGGGATCGGCTATCTCCTCCCTGACCGGCATCGTACCAATCATCGTACCTCGTTCCCAGGGCTACTCTGCTCGCTTTTTTCAAAATCTCTGGGCGCAGAGTAGCCCTGGGAACGAGGTTGGCATCGTGCTAGATTATGGGTTACTCGCGAATAATCTCGTTCACATTTTTTTTCTTTTGTATAATTTTTTTCTTTAGTTCTTTCTATATTGATTAACAATTTAAAATTTAATCTATTTTAGGTCATTTTTGTTTTTTGACAAATTTATTTAAAAAAATCGAATATCACATAAGTTAGTTCAATCCAAGCTTGTGAGGTATTTCAAAATTTTAACAGGGACAGAGTAGAATATTTTTGGTAAAAGTACGGAAGAAGATTATAAGCGCGTTAATGATTAAATAGCGAGCCCYAGGCTGCCGATGTGCGATGCAAATCCAAGCAACTCGGACAAGTGGCAGAGAACAAGCGGAGCCATCGGAATTTTTCACATTAAATAATAATATAGAACTGAAAAGAAAAAGGTAAAACAAAAACAAAAGAAAAAAAACAAGAAGAAAAAAAAATGACATGCAAGAAGGTTGCCGTGAGGTCACCCATCCACATGTTAGGCAGATGATCGGGGGAGGAAATGGACGGGCCCCAAAGGCGCAAATATCTACCCCTGTGCACTACTGTAGTACGGCTATTACGTAGCGGGCAACTGTTTAGGATTTATATATGCCGGGTAGGCTTCAAACAAGATTTATGCAGAGGCATTGCGTCTCAGAATTTTTCAAGGTTGTGGATTCGATTACTATTAGGGAAATCGTGATTATACCTCTGTAGAATATTTTAATACAGTTTTACTTGAAGAAAGGGGAAAAATCAATAAATAAACAATCGATGGAGAAATTTGCGGATTTTTCTCAGCGGATAGCGCCGGCAATCTCGAACAAGAAATGATTATGTCTCCTCCAGTTAGGTCTCATCCGCCCTTTTTATTCCCTCATCAAGTAGATCTAGTATGAAAAAACACCACACAATATATATTTATCAATCTCATTTTTAAATATTAACATGCTGTAGCTGTAAATGTATTATATTAATCACACACATACCCATCCCATATAAAAATCTGTCTTTCATCAATGTTGCCCCATGATTAGATTATTACGTACTGTGCATCAAGTTTGATGACATTTCAGTATGTCGAACTTTAGTAAGAATGTGCACCTATTTCGCCGTTCTCTTTCAGACAATTCCTACTCAATTAATGTCTGTGAGTCAAAGTGAGACCTGTACTGTGCCACTTGCCGGATCTCTCTCAAGTCATACTGAAACACTTACTTTGTAGTGAATGGTGCTAAACCACAGAACGAAAAACACTAGTTCTATAGCTAGAGAAGGGAAATTTAAAGAAGAAGGTTTTTTTTAGTTAAGGGGGATGGGAGGAGGGGGGCAAGCATAAAAAGCTAAGTGAGTGGCTTATGCGTACTTGGCGACGGTATGATTGCAACGAGAAAAAACTGGGTCTACTATCGGTGATAGTAATACACGTGAATGCCTGTCTCTGGAATCACGTGTCGTCTCTCGTTCGTCGTGATTCGCAAATCTGGCTTTTGGCGAATGTCAGGAGCATCCTCCGGAAAGTTCTCGTGAAACTTTCGGTGCGCTTCTGTTCGATTCCAACTGTTTTGCATTTCTAATAATGCTGTACTTGGTCTCTTCGGCCCGTAACGAGATGTTTGTCGGAACCACTTCGGGTATAATTCGGAATTGGTCGAACCTGTCATTGTCTGTTCGTGTAATTGGCTTGGCATGTTATGAATGGTCGGTGAACGTGGACGGCTTGGTTGGGGTGCGGTAGCAGGGCGTTGGCTCAGATATTCATGTCTAGCTTTCTCAAGGTTAGCGAGGAATGGTGACTGTTCAGGGGGGTGCGCAGCCTGGTAGTAGTTATTGATTCGTTTACTTGTGTCAAGTTCGTAACTTATATGTTCATTATTGATCAGGTGATGGACGTTCTTCGCGTAGGTCCCAGGCTCCCTATCGTCTTCTTCTTCTTTGATTCCTTCCTTTGACGAGTCTAACTTGTATCGGGTATCAAGTTTGGATTTTACTGTGGCGTCTTTAGTTTTATAATGTCTGACAGGTTCATCATCTTCGTCGTCCGTTACCCATAGTTCAGTGCCTTGTCCGTCGATTATTCTCTTCTTCTTTTTCACCTTTAACGTGTTCCTGACGCTTGTGTGTCGTCCTTCAAGTGGTCTGGGAGGAGTAAACTCATTCTTGAAGTGCTCTTTCTAGAAAACATAACATTCTAACATCAATATGTGATGTTCTTAAAACTTCGTGTAAGTTTACGATGATTATGCGCARTACATCGAATATGATGTCCCACATGGAAAAGGAAATCAGCCCAAGGTCTACTCACCAGATTATGTCCCCCTCCTGTGCAAACTTCTTCGTAGTTATCGAGTTTTAGTACGTTCTGGGGTCCGTTCCCGGTGTATTGTTGATTATATACTGTTCTCCAGTAAGACTTCTGAAGATTGTACAAAGCATTTGCAGTGCGCGGTGATACTGTCATTTCAAGGGATCGTTGCAAGCTGTTTGGCTGAACAGAGGACGGTGGGGTTGGGTAGTAGTTTTGCCTTTCAATGCCAGGTCCTTTTACTAGCTGTTTGTTAGAAATACAAAAAGAAAAGTGTATGCATAAGTGATTTCGTTTGCTTGGACTCCCTGTGTATTTTWTAGCATCCACGCCTTTTTCTCTGAAGGCCAGGTTTCATATGGCATATAGTAGTCCGGTTTGATTTTAGCGTTCGCTACAATTTCTGGAGGTTTCACAGTGTTTTCAAGCCTTTTATAAGTCGGGAAGAGCTCAAACACACTTCCAAATGAGGTAAGTTTTACCAGATAAGCCAAAAATTTGGACTAGSGAACGAATTTTTAATTTTTTCAGCTTAAATGCTTTGATAAAGTTGTCACAAACAACCGCGCATTTTTTAAGATGCCAGGTCTCGATTACTTTTCACTCCTTGGTGCCCTTTCGACCCTTTTGAAAACACTTTCATTTTTTGACCCATTTGTGAGTTCGTTTTGACCACAAGAGTTGTCAAGGTCAAGGAGAAGTCAATTGGACKGCCCCAAAGCAGGGGAAAAAAGGAACCATTGGCACTGCAACTCTTGGCCCATACTGACATACAAGCAGCACGCAAAATAAATTACCTGATAGTAGTTATGTTCATTCCAAATAAGAGGATCTTTTCGGGACTCATTCTGCACTTGCACTATTTCCCGACGCGCAAAGTGGCCCTTCGTCTTCTGGACTACGACGGGGTCTGGGGCCGAAGCAGCAGCAGTAGGTGGAAGTGTAGATGACGTCATGATGACGTTCTTTCCTTTCCTAACGTCATCCGGGGAATCGAAGTTTGGAAACAGTGCACATTTGGGAATATGAGAGTGATATGGGTGCTCTGACGGGAACTTCAGTTGTATGGCATGTTTCCTAAAAACACAACAAATAATATTCAAAACTAACAAATTCTTGAACAGATGAGGTAAAATTCAGCTCAATGAATTTAAAATTTGTGGATATTTTTTCTAGGTGCAAAAATGGTTATGAATTATAGAAGTAAAATATCATGTATTGATTGGTATTATAAGAAGACAAAATCTGCTTCCCTCCTTCATCGACCCCCACCACACACACACACATCCGATCCCAAAACACTCGTTGGATACACACAAGTTCCATCACAAAATTCTTTTTTTAATGAGTCACTGATTTGATTCAGAGTACATTACTTACCCAATATCTAGTTTATGTGGATCTGGTATGCTGTTGATGAAAATGATACTGGTTAAGAATATTGTATTTCCCGACATAATCTATTAATTTTGACCATTTCACTCTTTATGCAAGTATGATAAAATATATTCTTATGACTGATCACAGACCAAACGATTGAGGTTGAGGTTGGGGTAGATAATACGGCCAGTAGTCTCGACTACTATGCCTATTGCATGTTTCGTGATATTATTCACTTATGCACGCAAGTTAGTTAGAGTACTGAACACTTGTATAAATCTGATAGACTCCTCCACAGCATCACTAAGAGTCACGGGCTTCCTGTATTTTTGTTGTGGGTCAGAAGAAGGAGAATGGGAGCAAGACAGAGGTGCGTCATCACTAGTGACTAACTATCAATAAGACCGTTAAAAAGGAAGCCCGAAGGAGGAAAAAAGAGTTGCCTGAAGGAAGGCTAGGTAGTAACCATAATGATTAAAATTAATTTTGCGTCCTTAAATTATTAATTGATGAACAAACAACTAGTGATGTCATGCACCTAAATAATCGCTACACCTTATTTTATTAAATAATAGATGTACTCGATTCTCTTATACAAGAGAATGATAACCACATAAAGTATACTCAATGCATGTGGAACCCACACGTAATCCAAAACATCGTCTCTCATTGTTATGTTGACCAATCATGACTTCAATTATGAGAGATAAAAAATAATTATATGATTAAATAAAAAAAGGAGCCCTATTCTTCTTGGCGTCGGCTTGAAGCTATTAAAAGCCCRTTATGCGAAGTAAAGCAGACTTCMCTGAGAATTATTACTGTAACATACTTCAACTTAGTGAAAGCCGCTTGTAAKATCAATTATGGCCACAAATTCAGTTGCCAGTCAATTTTCGTATGATGATGAAAGCTTGATCAACTTTCTTGGMGATATTTTAAAAACTACTCTAATGATAAAGGAAAGAATTTCTCTCCTTGCTGCTAAATATCCCGTAACCGCGAGGGAAAAGAGTTTGGATGGGTTGATTGATAAGCTACAACAAGATATCGAAGGGAGATTGAATCAGTTACATCCACCACCACTTTCGCCCTTGCCGTCCGAGTTATCCGAGGAATCAATTCCTAGTCCAGTGCAAGAGGTGTCCTTCTCAATTGAGCTCTATGACAGTTCTCTYATTCGACGGCGTACTATTAACTCTCTTGGAAACTTAGGCCAGTCTTTGCCGAGGAAGAAAAAAGTCAAAGAACTTGTAAATGTCGAGATTCTTACTAACGAAAAGTACGATCCGGAGAAACGGGCCATAACATGGCTGCAGTCCAAAGAGTACTCTTCCCTCACTACAACTTCGCTCACCGAAAGCGAGAGGTACGCGGGACACAGCAAAATGTCATTCATTCCGGCKGTACAAGCCCTTGTCATTGATGTTGGTAAACTAAACTTCAAGACYCAATCGGTCCCGTACTTTTTGCTTGATAATCAAAACCACGATTCGACTGTCGGTACWTTTTCACTCGCGCCTTCAGAAAACGCCCTCTGGAAAAAGTACGATTTTCACAACAACATGGAAACTGCAATCAAGATTGCACGCGCAAATTATGAGTACTGGAGCGCTATGTATTACCGAGGTCTTAGCAACAAAGATAAAGATCCAATGCAAAGAGCCCTTGTCAAGGAGTATTTGAGGTCTTACGTGAAAGATCCCATGCGCGCAAAAGGAGTTATCTACTTTTAYCARGTACAGAAAATACTACAGAACCGACAGTTACAAAGTCAAGTTTATATTGGGAGAAGTGAAGATCTTTTCGAGGAAAAGCTCCGAAAGCTGCACCAAGGTGACGAAGGTGAGCCTACACTGGTGAAACTTGCTCTTCAAAGTCAGGCTTTCCAGGGCGAAGAAAGCGAAAACAACATGGAGGAAAATGAGACAAGAAATGTCGCTTTTATCATTGATTTAGGGTACACGGAAGAATTCTTTGAAAAGTATAAAGACAGATTAGATAAAGGAGATAAATTGACCACACTGGAGAAGAATTACATTGAATATTTTGGCGCCAGAAGTCCTTTGGGATTGAACTAAACTGGAGTTGGTTACCATAGTAACTTGGACTCGAAATAAAAYAGTCAAGAATCGATTTCTTACRAAAGGTTGTTCTTGTAAAGTTATATCTATTCTTAAACATTACGAGCACATTGAATTAGCTTCAAGTTAATCTATATAGCTGAAAATCGACGCAGACGCAGGGATTGCTTAAAATCTCGATGAACACTAAAGGTGTCTATACTGAAACTTCTAGATAAACCACAGAACTATGAAATCAGATCAAATGATAATAAATCGTGTAAACTAAAAGAACATAGTCACGATAAAGCTGCAAACAAAATATTAAGACTCGAAGAAGAAGAAAATGACACGTAGGAAAAATAGAAAATGATGCTTGGTATTTTGAACAAACTGAAAAGAAGAAAAATGGTTTGAATAAATCACGTGCCGACTACAAGTGACACCGAAAGACAAAAATCTGGAGACCAACAAAACTTTCAAGCGCTTGAATGTAATCTCCTAATCTAGTCTTCTTTTTGTGGCTACTACCATAGGAAAATAGAGAACCATGCACCCTCATTTATCGTCCAGAATACGTTTGCTATTAAAGCGAGTTTTTCTACTTACAGCTCGTCATTTCTTCTTAGGTTACTTTTCTTAAGTAAGGTTAAATCGTAATACTGCTGTATAGGTAGATTGCTAGAAATAAAGAATAAATCATATGAGCGATGGAACTATTTCTAGACAGCAAACTCTCGCTATTACGCGGACACCCTCTGGACCGTCATTTACTGTCCGAAGTAGGGATGGTCCGTAATAACTTTCAGTCATTTAATACATAAATTGCAAAGAAACTGAACAGTCTTTTGGTGTGAAACATACCAGGGAATGGGCACCACGCCCCCGCCGAAGTGTCGGTGCCCTTTCTGAACCCTTGTCGGTGGTTCTTGTTTTGGTCGATGTTGGTCGGGTAGATTGATTGGTCCAGTTCCGCCATAGCTTAGACTGCGTCCCCACGGTGCGTGTGGCGGTCTATAGGTTCTTGTTTTGTACGCATCAAAGCTAAGAAAAAATGTATTTCGACATCATCAAAATTGAACAAATCAAACGTTTCTATGTTTTAAAAATATTACTACCGTGTCATTGTATGTAGCGTTCAATTTAAAGCCTGCGTAGCGGCTCCAGGGGGGAAGGTTCCGAAAACGGAAGAGCAGGCTAGACCCCACGGGCAATGGCCAAATTTTCTTTTTCCGGAAAAATATTGTCATACTTTTAACTTTAAACTCTTTGTATGTATATAGCCACCTGAATATAACGTCCGACACGATATCAGACAAACCTGTCGGCTAGAAACATTATTTTATGCCCTTTGCCGGTAACGGACTAGGTAAAGAGAACTTCAGTCTAAAAATTTCAAATCTAAGCAAAAAAAAAAGTTAGCTGTAATTTATAAGTAAAGTAAGGAGTTTCATTTCCCAAGAGAGACGTTGCCAGCTGCCATAACGAATACCTGCTAATTTTGAATTTTGCTGTCTTTTCACACTGTAGGCGAGAATTTTAATTTTTACATTTTTAAAACCTATATCACAGTAAACAATATATAAGGTCTAAAGCACCCATACAAACTAACAATAGTACTCATCAATTTTCAATTTCCCCTATACTAGTTCTTTTCGTACACAGTTATTCATTATTAATGATGTTAATATTTTACCGAATATTCAAAATAAAACTCGACGAATAACAACAAATACTAAAGATTAAGAAAAGWTGCMAAAAAAMMCAATCATTATCGGACGAGAAAAGCCTTTAAGTTTAACATAATCTTTTCGTTTGGTCATACAGGGGAGTAATTAGCAGGTTACAAACACACCACTTGTAAGTATTATAAGTAAGCCGTCAAGTATTATTGTAACAACAAACTTTAAAATAAACTCTTAGTTTAGACAGATGCAATGATGAATTAGTCCAAATTATACAACTACACAGCCAAGTAATACAATACAGATCACTAAAACACTGAGTTTGGTCCAGATTTTGACTTTTAAAGAACTTTAAGAAGCCGGCATATGCATAGCAACGTGTTAGCAACCGTTTCGCTTGAATAAATGTTCAACACTTCTGACCCCAACATTTCTAAAGTTTCAATAGTTTTTGACGTAAAAATTGTGCTATTTTGTTCTAAAACTTTTAGAGAAAAGTTAAATATTGTAACTAGCTGATCTAAAGAATATATAATTTATAACTTACTGCCTCTGCGAGATCGATAGACGATCCAAAACTTCGGGCGCGTGCAGCACATTAGATTCAACATTCCTTGAGAGATAGTCAACTCCGACGTGTGTATTATAAAGGGCAGTCTGCAAAGCGGTAGACATTTTCCCTCGAAAATGTAAGAAACTGTTGACAATTCGCCGTACTACATCTCGAAGCTGATATATAAAGTATAGGATTTCAATATATGAAGCCAGATAWTGCCAGTTATAGCCCGGGCCCAGGTCTCTTGTTCTTGCGCGCAACCATCAACATGCATTCACCTTGGTTACCGCGGTGGCTTGCTTTGTTTCGATTGGATAAACAGAGTTCTGAACATGTGCTATTATTTTTTGTTTTGGGGTATTCATTTTTAAAATCACCACAAAGTGATAATGAGAAAAAATACTGGATTTAGATAATGACTACCTCACGGCTAATTAGTCTTTCTTTATATTGTCCTCAGCTCAACTAGGAACTTCAAAAAGTTCTAAAAGTTTGTTTTGAACTTGCGTAAAGAAATTTATCTTTACAATCACTTTTAAGCCAAGGAGGAAACATTTTTTTCGGAATATGTTTTAAGCAGATGTCTTAAAACAAAATTCGATTCTCATTTGCTGATGTCAAACAAAAACAGACTGTCGTATTCGTGTCCCAAATATAGCTACAACTATGTTGACATCAACATCTATATTCACGGATTTTATTGAATCGCACGTAAAGTGTTTTCTCTTTAAAAGRGAAGTTTATCGTTTCTTCTGTCATATTCCTCGTCTTTTGCAGTCCAGTTTTCACTCGGCAGTTTCCTCGTCAAATTGCGTAACACCTGTTATTGTGATGACGTCATAGTACAGCTGGGCAACACTGCGTCATTTAGAAATCTGTCTGYATACTGACTACTTTTTAATTTATTTTTACTTTGTCAAATGTTCACTGAAAGTGATATTTATATAAAAGTTGCGTGATCATAGAATCAGGCAGCCACAAGCTAAATTACAGCTGACTGGAATAATAGCAATCAAAATGCCCCRTCTGTTGTTGCTTGATTGCACAGATGGAACAAAGCACTGCTTRATGGTGATTGGTTGGTTTTGGATAAAAGGTCGATTAAAGTCACTGTATTGAATGACCACTTCACGCGTGACTTGGTTCGTCTCCAAGGGGACTGTGTTTAGGGTTCGATTAGCCAAGTTGATTCAAGGACTTCTTTAGTAAGAACTCTATAATATAGACCGATTCATCCATGAAAAGAGCAACCAATATAACCAAAAACTAATGTGATAATAGTCTTAAAAGAGCAGGAAGTCCTGCGAGAAAATGGCAGCAAGTAGCGACTTCTTGACAAGGCTGCARAGTGACCTYTACAAAGAAAGRCATGGATTCGGTCCTTTGTCAAAAACATTTCAGTCTTCAATTGAACACGCTCCAGGTCTTGTCCAGCATCGTATAACCACATTTCCYGATAGGTGAGTTTAGTTGATATTCGACCGCAATACAGATAAGTGTTAATATTAGAGTCATTTGCGCATCACCCAGTATGATATTGGCGATATGGTAATTTAATATGCTTATCGTTATGTTATAAGTATTGGCATTTATCAACAAGGCGTTAAAAAGCAGCTGGATTGTGATAGATTATCATAATGATTGCTAAACAGCTATAGTATTTCTTTTGGCATTGCCATTGCAAGGGATAATCTCACTGATCTCAGAATTCCATCGTCGTCCAAACGTAGGAGCAACGATTGCCATTATGGATTGCTCTGCTTTGGCACACGGTGCAATTGTTTTTCCGCAAATTATGATGAATTGAGCTACTCTACTTGTTAATGCAGTTGTAAAGATTATGATCACTACGAGTGCTATTTAATGTCAAAATCAAGATCAGTATTAATTATTGGTATTTTGTTTTCTAGATATGGTCTGTACGTGCGTAATGAAATACCACAAGTAAAGTGTCCGTGGGGAAGAGCTCGCAGTTATGCTGGTGATGCTCCCGTACAGTTGCCATTAGACAACAGACCTAAATGTGAGCCTCCCCCCTTACTACAGAAGAGCCATCGTCATTTTGGTACTGGGGCGCACCCTCATCCACGGTTAGTTTTAACTGCAACTGCTTGAAGTTGAAAAAACTCCCCTCTGCTTTTTCAATTTTCCCGTTTTGAGTTATTGTTTCATTCCTATGAATCGCAGCTCTTTCCTTCGGGCTTCCTGTGGAAAAGGACAGGTAACCCAGAATGATGCTAATCTGATCTGAAATTTGTTCTTATAGGGGAATCCCTATCAAACAGTTCTACACCCTAACGCAATTGAAGCGAAGCAATTTACGATGGAACGACGAATTGTAAGTAAGATTTTATAATTTTTGATACTCCATGATATAAATTACAAAATATAGAATAATCTTTTATTTCTTAATGAATTTCATTTGAAAAAATATATATGCGAGCTTGTTTTAATTGTCTGGTCTTCATGTTTACATTTCTACACATTTTTTCAGGCTCCCGCGACCTTCTACTGCAGATGTTCAGTAAGTATTAGCCCCATCGGTAGCTAAATCCATTCTCGTCCTGTGGATAAACCCCGTTCTACTCACCTTTCACCAAAACACCACTTGAAGCATGAAAACAAGTGCCCCAAGTCAGTCCCGGCATCATTCATATATCATATTCATTCATTTATTTTAGCATTTTTCTATCCATTCATAATATTTATTTACTCATTCGTTCATGTATTTATTTGTTTCCAGGAGTAACCAAATACATATGCCTTTTCCTAAAGAGTCGGCCCTAAGCTCCCACACATCAAGACAAGCCGTCTTTCCCCGTCCTGAACCATACCCTGGGTACGACCCATGCGGCACCCCAGCCACCCCTCCCTCGACAATAGTCAACAAGGCCATGGGAAGCTTTGGACGAAGGGAAATTMTAAACAGTCGTCCTCAATCTTCTAACGAGGGCAATGGCGGCTATAGTATGAACGTCAAGCCAGTGACGGTAAGATTTAGTTCTCTGATTAGTCAGTAAATTTACTCTGATCGGGCTCTTCGTTTACCCGTGTGACTAGTTTACTTTGAAGCTATTTCTTTCGCCATACTGAATTCTTGTTTGCGACCCCTCCCCTCTCCCCCTTCTCCCAAAATAAAGAATAGGGTAACATATTTTTGGATAGTCCAATACTTGGTACGGTGTGAATCCAAAACAATACTCGCAGTATAGAGTCATCAGTTTCATCCGTCTGTGAAATAGGAATTGTACTATTACATGTAAATGCTATTACCCCCTATTAGCTTCCAATAGTTTAACTTATGACATGCGACAAACAAATTAGACGAAAACGGATTTGATTTTGCCTTTTGGTAGCCTACTACACCCTAATCGATACTATTAAACAGTAGTAATTGTTTCCCAGACGGATGAAAATGACTCTATACAGTCAATCATCCTAGTCTTGAAAGCGCACTGAAAACAAAGCTTTCACCACCTCCCCCTCATGAAAACAGTGCTCACGCCTATTGGTAACGTTCAATTTAATTCGATTCAATTCTCACTTTCAGGTCACCAATCCATTTTTTAACCGTCATGATATTATCAGCGAGTTCAATAAACTACATCCAAGCAATACACCAACATTACGTCTCCCTATCCAACGTCTGAGAAAAGCTGATTGGCATTCTTAGGACATGACATTGTTACAAAAATGGTCAAAGAGCAAGAACAAATTGGAGTTTGATTGGAATACCCATGCACCATCCCACATACAGCTCAAAACAGCTCCAGGAGTTTTATCTCAATGAATAGGCTAGAGTGTGAAAGATGTCCTGATGCATGAAATTAAAGATTTGAACTGAAACTTGTCCTTTTTTTCATGTCTTCGTTATATAGTTAAAAACTACCGCGCACTGAATTTCTAATCAAGAAACCTCGCGCACTCCGAAGTCGTAGGCAACAAAATAGTAAAAAATTACTGAACAGCATCAAAATGTTAACAATCGTTTAGCTTACTGGCTCAAAATAGTGTTTAGAAAACACCTTGAGACTAAAAAAGACTAATGAAATGATTTGCCGTAGGATCAGTTTTGTTGTATTTTCAGTTTAATCTTTGCCATTGGTTTTCAACACTACTGATAAATTAAATTTTCATAGCTTAGTCTAATAAATAATGGTTAAACCGAATCTGATGACTGTAGGTATCAAATACATGGACTTTTTTCAATTTGGTGTAATATCGTAAAAAATTGATAAATCCCATTCCAATCAATAAAATTTGTTTAGAGAGTTTTGGCTGAAATTACAGTGGAAGGGAAATCGAGCACCCATATGATTTGCGCCAAAACTTTGACCGCGCATCCGCGTCCGTGATGCACATTTCCCACCAAATGTGGCAAACCTACCCATGTTCCAGAGGCTTGTCTTTTATTCTTTTGCTTACGAGCCGATAACATAGTAAGCAAAAGAATAAAAGACAAGCCTCTGGAACCAGGGTATGGCAAACCAGAACTATTGTACTTTGTGATGTTCCAAACACTATAGACTTCTGACGGTCTTATCGTTTTGTTCATCTACCCTGGCAAATGTTCATTTATATGAATTATTTGCACAGGCGCGAAGCACACGACGTCTCGTGGCGAGTTTTATCACTGCACCTTTCAGTTTTAACTCATCGTTTTGTTTACAGAGGTTGAGTTGTGAATTCTAAGTCTTCCTSGTGTTAATGAACTTCATCATATTTGAAGTCATTTATTCATGAGTAAAAATATAAAAATCCTGGCAATGTAAATGGTTTTGTGGCGCGTGCTTTGCCGCTTCGCATGCGTACAGTCAAAATGCGGTCACACGTAAAACGGAACAGTTATTAAAAAAAGTATATACAAGTAGATATATCGTTAACCGCAAGTTATACTACACATTCTATTTTAAGTATCGTTTCCTAGCAACTTAGAATACTTTAG